TATATATCACTTAATATTAAGAAAAAAACAAATATAACAAATGGGGGATTTTAATAATCACATTACTAAATTTTGATCCCTGAAATTTTTGGTAATATCAATGTTCACTTTGTCTGGTTTTGTTGCAGCATGCCCCATATATTGTATTCATTAATTACATTTAATAATTTGTAGATAAATATGTTAGCTGAAATTTCATTTTCATTTAATCAGTCTGTTTTGCCTGTTGTATTAGTATGTTGGTGTGATTATTGTTCTAAAAGACACTCTCTAAAATATGGATGCCCTCATATGAAATTAGTAAAACATTATGATGTAATTCCATTTAATTCTATGCAGGATTGATTTTAAAAATGAATTCTTTTCAAATAAAAAATAAAATTTAAAAAATATTTGTTATATTTATTTTATTGATATTGATTTAGTTATGTAAGATTCCTTGTAAATTTTATATTAAAGGATCCATGAACTTTAAGGAATCTTTAGGGGTCCTTAAATTTTTTGAAAGAATCCCTAAGGATCTACAAAAATCAAGGATCCTATAGCATTTTAAGGGATCCTTAAGCTCAAAAGTTTCCTGATGATATCTTTATTCTGTATTTTATTTTTATTTGTATTTTTATTTATCCTGTATTTTTATACGTCAATAAAGCAAGCCATGGTGGCTCGATTTCACTCATATACATATATAATCGTGTTTACTTTTTGGAATTTTTTTCTGATGTATTGGTATTGATGTATATTAGTGGTAACTAGCAAGGCTAATCTGTATATGATTGAGAATTTTTCTTGGAAAAAGTGATCAGCGTTACAAATTGTAACGCACACGTAAATTTTTACGTATGTCTTGATTTATTTCAAAATTTTATTGTAGCAAATACTGTAATGAAAAAAAACTTATTGTTGAAGGTAAAGGCTTAAATAACTTATAATTTATAATGCATAAGTCATTTTTTAGCGACCTGAAGGTCACCGAAATTTCCCAGCCATTTTTTATTTACGAATTATGATGCAATTAATTCGTGATGTGCCAAAAATAGAATGGATTTATGACTTATTATCGATTGTACTACAAAATTACCCATTTTTGCTTATCAAATAGATTTAATCATCAAACATATTTTTTTTACCCTAAAGAAACACACGCAATGTCACAAACTGGAAGAGAAGTATGTTACTTAAGGTATATAATAAATTCTGGAAAAATAGAATTTGCTTGGTCAGTAATCACACCATCTAGCTGGGATTGGATTGGATTGTACGAAGACGACAGCAAAGAAAATAGAGAATGGGTTGATGGACACTGGTTCTATATGAGTAATCATAGTAGTCATTCATCTCTTCCTGATGGTCGACATGTATACACTGGAAAACATTGGATCAGAACTGTTTCTGGAGGAAACCAAGTAAGATTAAATGCTTCAGGAAATTACGGAGAATATAACACTTATTCATATGCTAATGTACGTAACCCTACGTTTATTTACTTTGAAATGAATCGGGTTAACTATCTACGTGAGAGGTTGCAACATATATTTGATAGACACAAGAAAGATTGGGGATTTACCGAAAATGATAATTGGAATAAACAAAATGGAGAGAAACTTCTGAGGATTCTTCGAGAGTTTATTAGAAAAAATATGAACTACGTTTATTATGGAAGTTATAAGGATGATAATGCGTATCTTATAGTTGATCCTGTAACTTATCAGTGTGTTATAATTTACCGTGGGGGAAATAAAGATTATTGATTATTGTCCGGATGGAAGCTAAGTAATGATCAATACAAACATGCAACACAACCACCTTTTAAATTACGTGCAGTTGTACTTATTGTATATGAAGACGTTCTCAATGAAATTGCCAACTCTGAAAATGAAAGGGATGATTTACTTAAACTGTTTTTAGAAATTTTCAAGAATGATAAAAATCATTACAGTGATGAAGTGTATGATCAGATTGCAGACTTTTTTGAATTAGCTGAAAGTTACATTCCGTTGTCATTCGAATGGAGAGATGAAGTGGAACCAGAAGACTCTTATGAAGTTGACTACGAAAAGATAAGGAAAAAGGAGAAACTATTTTAGTGACACTTGAAAAATTAGCAGTTTGATAAAGACAAATTTTTTACTAGTTGGTTATTAAATAATTGAATTTATATTTTAATTATTGCTACAGTGCAGAAGCTCTATAATAGGAACAAATGTTGCCTTTTTTTAAAAGGGAGTAGATCACCCAAAAAAAATTTTTAAAAAAAAGTACACCGTAATTTTGATAGCTAATGACCTTAACTTTAAAACTTACGGTTTAGAATTTTATTTTATATA